TATTTAAAATTCAATTCTTAGAGGCTGATAAAATAGTTAGAATGTTACCGACATATTCTCAAATACACCCAGATCACATGTACACTAGCAAACATATCAACACGCGATCACTGAAAGATTATCAGTGGTGGTTGGTAGCAATTCGATTGATAGCATCGAAATTCCTTCATGATTCTTAATATATTATCGTTAAATTACAGTTTTCTATAATTTTTTTTAAATCAGTTATAAGAAATTCTGTTTTCCGCTAATAAATTCTCTATAATATCTTAAATGTTTTATTTTGATTTTTTTTATATCAGAAGGTATTTAGCCCACCCGCAAATATTCTTTATTTAAAAATAAAATATCGATTTACTTTATTAATTACACTGGAATAATATTTAAAAGAGTTACAAAATAATTCAAATATAAGTGAAATTGTTTCAAATATAGAAATGAATTCTATTTGATTTATTTTAAGAACTGTAGTATTACCTTTGTAACAATCATAGAAAATAAACGAGAATAATAAAAATATCAAAAAACTAATAGATAATTATTAATCATTTGAGTATCGGTATCTTTATCGTTATGAACAATATATTCTAGAATTTAATATTTCATTTATTATACTATTTATTTGATTAATTGACAAATAAAACTATATGTATGAATCTTTTCTATTATTCCATATCTACAGTAAAGCTTCCGGATCTTTTCTAGAAACTCTAAAAATTTCCCATTGATCAATTTCATAATTTCCAGAAGGTATTATAGCCGGTTGTTCATAATGACCATTCTGCTCAATATGGCAAAAGACACGATCCGGAACATTCCGACGTCCACTTCCATTATGGATAAATCTTAAATCATTACCAAATCTTAATATTAAACCATTGAGATCTTTTCTATTAGTACTTATTTTCTCAGAGGCGATTGCTTCATCAAAATTTACAACACGGCTTAATCGATAATTTACACCATCATTCACACCTGCATCATAAGAAAAAATAAAACTATCTGAAGTATATCTGTATTCGATACCTATTGGATAAACGCGATATGAACCATATGTCCAATCGAGGGGATTATAAGCACCAACAATTTTTCCATTTTTTAATTTCATTAACATCAATGAAGGTTCATGATGGTTGGCAATAACCTATTCGTAGATTGATTATAAAATTGTTTAGGATAGAAAGCCGTATGATCATTCATACGAAATATAGGAGTAAATTGAAAAGGCATATTAGATTTAAGGTATAAATCATTTTCAGGATCATTTTTATCAATCCATGTCGAGATCAAACCAAAAAAGTCGCTATCAACAATCTTTGATTCAACAGGAGAATTAGTACTTCCAGCCAATGTAGTTTGATCATAAAATTTACACTTAATATGACATCTAACAGTTTCTTTATCAAATTTAAACATTAAATCTTCACCGAAATTTAATAGGCCGCCAAAGTCACTTACTAGGCAGACAGCATGATCAAAATTTTTAACTCTACATAAGCGATAATTTGAACCATATTTATCGTCATAGGTAAAAATAAAACTTTCAGAAGTAGAACCACAACAGCTACTTGAACCTTGTTTCCATTGAATGGGATTGTAAGCACCAATGAATTTTCCCGAATTTTTAAGTTTCATTATCATTAATGAAGGACCCTCGTGACATTTTATTGTTGGTAACTTGTTCGAATAATGATGAAATCTATAAAGTTGAGTAGAGAATTTTGAATTATCATTCATGCGAAACACATGCCTAAATCTAAAAGGACTATTAAACCCAGAGTATTGAGATTCCATAGGGTCCCTTCTATCAATCCAAGAAATGATCAATCCAGCAAATCTGTTACTAATAACCTTTGGTTCAACTATATAATTAGAACGAGGAGGAATTTTATATAAAACAACTTTATCCGGTAAGATTTGTTCATATTCAATAATTGAACCTTTAATATTATCATAACGAATTAATTGTAAAGCATCTTCAAGAGTAGTTCCTAAAGCGTTAAACCGAGAAGTTTTATCAGTTATGGTGCTATAATTTGGAGTGTTTGCGATGCCCCATCGAATCAAATTATCAAATATTGATTGTTCAGGCAAGCAAATCATGTCCAACTTCAATATGCTAAGTAATAAATCCTCATCAATCGATAAAAATTCCGGAGAACCAAACAAGATCACTGGCCTTTCCGCTACCATATCTTGGCAAACTAAGTAGAGATCATAACGGGATGGAATACGGTAAGAAACGTTTAACATATAAAGAATTTCATCATCTTTCCAATGCGTTTTATTTCTTTCTAATAATTCAACTTTTAAAAAGTCGAGAAAATCATGAAGGAGGAGGAGATCAGATGCCAGTAATAATTCTATTGAAATTGATACATTTAGATCTTTTAACGTAATGGTTCCACTATAAATGCCCCTATGAATTTATTACGTATTATTAGTATTGACATTAATACAAGATTAATATATATATATATATTAATATTTAATACTTTTACTTTTTCCAATTTATCAATAATGACCATGGAACCGCTCGATATAATTTCCTGGATCGCATAACTTTGACTGAATCACGGGAACTTACATTGACCAAAGAAAAAATAATCATTGTTTAATCGACAGGAATAGATATAATGAGTGTCTGCGTACTACATTTATAGCAACGGGTACCATTAAGTAATATATCAAGCGTAACTTGTCCAACATTTGAAACTCATAAAACGGTCTGCAATTCAGCCAACTTAAATATTCAACAAAATCGTAACCTTATTCGAAATAGGATGCAATAAAATATAGAAAAAACGCGACCAAATTTTTAAGCCTGGTGAATTAGTAAAAATTCATATCCCGAGCGTTGACAGACAAAAATGGATCATCGATCTTTACCTTGCGAAAGCCCAATTGTGGCTCATATCAAGTTGCTTGCCAATTTGGGGTAGTAGAAAATTGATATTCAGTAAATGATTTCGGACCACTAGAAACTTCAAATTATATTGGTTCCCTTAGATAGCATGATTTCATTGAGACAAGCCGGATTTAAACAAAAGTTTTTTCGATCTTTAAAACAAATCTTGAAGAACTAATTAGTGATAACTTAAAAGTTAATATAAATGTCGAAAGGTAAAAATATATATACATACAAATATGTGTAAATATAAGCAATTTATCAAGTAATAATTAATTATATACTTTTACATAGAAAACCCCAACTATTCGAAGAATCCCTAAATAACGCAACGAAACGACCATTTTTCCAGCTGAAAAAAAGCCATTCCAATGAAAATAACAAAAAAAATCAACCTAATTGTTGTAATTGTCAAAGACAAATTGCAGTTCTAAATCGTGTTCTTGTCGAAGGAATAATTCACTGTGTACAAGGCGATGTGGTTGGACTTTACGTAAATAATGTAAAAATAGTTTTTTTTTTATTTTTTTCTTCAAATTTATGTAACAGAGCATTTATGATTATGTTTGTATGCCACATAAGGGTTTTTTATAAAAAAAAAAATTATCTGAGCAATAAATTTTCATCGATTATGAAATAGCATACGTTACTTTTAAATTTGTAAATGACATATGTCACTTTTGAAGCGACAGAAATTGAAAAATGACGAAGAACAGTACAGTACAAAAACTATTTATCTAACTATTCTCCAACTTTATTAATAAAGGATTATTTTTATATCTACAATTAATTATAAAAACATGTAAAGTTTCAATAAAGCAACACTGGTTATTTTTGTGGTTTGTGCATATAAATAATACTAAAATTTGATTGGCTATCATGTATGTGTTTATTTTTGGGGGCGGCAATCCGGGAGGAGGGATGGCACGTCATATGTCCGATTGACATTGGACATATATCCAAAAAAAATTTGAAACCAATTGGACATTGACATGCCATCCCTGATCCGGGGAGGTTAACCAACTAATTAACTTTAAACTGCCTTATACTGTATTAAAGATTTTTATCAGTATGAAATTAGAAAAGACATTCATATTTATCGTAAAACTAATTGTATGTAATTTAAGAAAAAAATTATTTGTAAACTTTTAGGTTCAATACTAAGTTG